TGTGTGTGTGTGTGTGTGTGTGTGTGTGTGTGTGTGTGTGTGTGTGTTTCAAGACAGGGTTTCTCTGTGTCGTCTTGGCTAGCTGGCCTCGAACTCACAGAGCTCTGCCTGCCTCTGCCTCCCGAAGTGCTGGGATTACAGGTATGCGCCACTGCACTCTGCTAAAGATAAATATTTAGAAAGAAGCCTCTTTGAGCTCAGTGGTTCTCAGCCTGTGGTTCCTTCCGGATGGAAGACTGTCTGTGATCAGAAAACACAGATAGTTACATTACAATATATTAAAGCAGCGGAATTGCAGTTATAAAGTAGCAACAAAAATAGTTTTACGGTTGGGGGTCACCACAGCATGAGGAACTGGATTAAAGGGCTGCAGCATTAAGAACCACTGATTTGGTAGGTTCCCCTAGGGGCTTATCACCAGGTTCACAGTGCCAGGCATGAACCTCCTCCTGTTGCGAAGGCCTTAAATCTAATCCCAAGGTAGTTGGTTTTCTGAGCTGGCCTAGAACTTCTAATCCTCCTGCCTCGGTCGTCTGACCGCTGGGATTTTAGGCCTATGCCACCACACTCAACAATAGAGAACCTTCTTTGGTCTCAAGTCCTTCTGTAGCTGTCCTTTTGGATCCATTTTAGCAGCCGCACCCCTGTATCTTGCAGAAAAAAGCCGAACAAGATAACACAGCCAGGACCTGTGCTTACCTCTTTCCTGTCTGGTCACACTTTCCTTTCTATAGGAATGTGACTTTGTACTCTACCCATACTCCACGTCTCTCTAGAACTGCCCACAGTTTCTTGGGTCAAAAAGTAGCAGGCCATCATGAAGTCTACCTTTGAGGCAGAACAATAATTAGGTCCTGCTTTTGTCTGAGAGCGATAGCTCAGTGTCTAGTATCTTTCCCATTGGTCCCAGCTCCAGTTTCCTATGGGACAGTGGAACTGCCAAGCCTCTAGCCCAGCATGGAAGAGATGGCTCGGCTAAGCAAGGTCAGGTGGAGACTGAAGCCTGGGCGTAGAAGGAGAAGCCAGAAACGATGGCCTTAATAATGCCGTGGTCCTTCCTCTCACAGATATCTAGGCAAAGAGGGCTGGGCGCCAGCATCCTATCTGAAGAAGGCCAAGGATGACCTGCCAACCCGGAAGAAGAACCTGGCAGGTCCAGTGGAGATCATTGGGAACATCATGGAGATCAGCAACCTGCTCAACAAGAAAGCATCTGGAGATAAGGAGGCCCCCACTGACGGCGAGGGATCGGAAGCCCCCATCACCAAGAAGGAGATTAGCCTACCCATCCTCTGCAATGCCTCCAACGGCAGCGCCTTGGGCATCCCTGAGAGGACTACATCCAAGCTGGCCCAGAGCTCCCCAGCCGTGGCCAGGATTGCCCCGCAGAGGGCCCAGATCAGTAAGCACCAGGAAGCCCCCAGTTTCTCCCTACAGAGCCCCTATAGAGTGGGCAGGCATGGTGCGGGGGAATCCAGGGACTAGTCAGGGTCTCCCTGTCATTTTCACCCTGAGCTACAGCCTGAGTTGTGACTGTCAGCTGACACAAGAGTGAAGAGGGAGTGGTTGTGTCCCTGTAAGCTACTGCTCTGAAGATGTGCTCCAAGAGGAAGCAGGCTACTGGCCTCCCTCTCCCTGAGAAGGAATCAGGGGTGGCTCTTTAGCAAAGGGACAGAGCAGGAAGTGACATCTTTTCTCTCCAGAAAGGCTTTAGAAAGTGACTCCCCAAAGCCGTGGCACACGTGCCCATCCCCCACCTGCATACATTATCAATTACTAAAACTTGCCTCTCCTCACCCACCACACACACCTCTGAACCAGCAACACCTTTGGTATTATGGGGTGGGGGTGGGAACAACTTCTGTTTGTGCCCAGCCAATAATCTAGAGGAAAGATGTTCTGGGTTTTGTTTTGTTTTGTTAATATTTAGCACTTTATTGTTAGCTCCCTGGTACTTAGAGGAATATTCATTAGGCAGGACATTCTTCTGGCCTTGTGCTACATTCAGAGGACTTAGGACTAGTGAGCAAGAAATAGATGTGGCTCCTGCTTCTACTGAAAATTTGATAAACTTATACAGCCTTTGAAACTCCCTGTAGTCTCTGTAGATTTCAGGGGGTCTGTGGGTCCTTCTAAAGAACAGGCAAAGAAGCCTAAAGCTCTCTTCAGGCCTATGGTGACTTAGAATACAGGGTTGTTCGTAGTTATGGGACCAAATCGTGAAGTTTCAAGGATGTGAGTGGACCCCACCCCCATTCCCAGGGAGGGCAGGTGTAGGTACTGTCCACAGGGAGTCTTAAAGCTGTGGCTCTTCTTTCAGGCTCCCCAAATCTGAGGACAAGACCGCCCCCACGCAGAGAATCCAGCCTGGTATGTGGACAGTCTTCATTCCTTCTCTGGGATGACTGCAGCACCCTTACTAGCTTGACACTGTTGAGGCAGAGCCTATGGCCCAAGGGTTGGTTGGGGTTGCCGTCTTTACAACGCTGGGGACAGGGACAGGAGCCTGCAGATCCCAGGCCTCCCTGGAGCATAGCCAGACAGTTTATAGTCAGAAATGCATGGCACTCCAAGGCTAAATCAATCCATCCCGGCCGCTGCACTGGCAGACATAAACATTTAGACTGGCCAGCAGGAGTGTCCACTGGGGTATTGCCAGGGCCTAGAAATGGGGCTTCTGGCTATGCTGGCCCAAAAGTCTTACAACTTTCTCAGGATTGCCCAGTGAATGTGGTGGGCTTTACAGTCTAGAGGGGAAAAGCAGACCACTGCTTATCCTTCAGAAAGGAGAGTGGATTGCAGGATCTGGCTCATGGAGGGCTGACGCTGCTGAGGTCCCTGACTCTTGAATGAGTGACTGGTAACTGACAGCTCAGGCAGGGAGATATGTAATTGGGAGCTTGGGGAACAGCAGTGTTGGTGACAGACTGAGAGGCCTGTCATGGGATGGGGCAGGGGACAGTTAAAGCATAAGGGAGTGGGTCAGGGGGCAGTGTGATGTCATGGGGAGACAAGCTTCCGGGGCCAGGGTGTGGCTCAGTAGAGTGTTTGCTCAGCATGCGCAAAGCCTTGGAAGTACCATCCCTAGCATCCCTGGAAAGGGATACTGGAGCCTGGCATAGATTCTGTTTCTGACACAGGAACAAAGAAAGACCCTTTGTAAGTCACCTACCCTCCGAATTTCTCAGTTTCCTCTTCTGAGAGGGAAGAAGAGTACTGGCCACCTCCTAGGTCTGCCATGAGGATGGGAGGCAATGGTGCTTACTCAGGACATGCAGCAGGGCTTCCTTTCTTGTGTGGACCTCTGGATGTCAGTGCCACCATTTGGCACTCTACATAGGATGGATCTCTAAATCATGCCTGGCTGCATGTTACTCCAGTGGCCCATCCATGGGAGTTGGGGGCCTCCATATGTTGGAAGATGTGGCCTCTGGCCATAAGTATTTTGTGATCTAGCCATTAGTCCAAATGAAATTTCTATCCCTTTTTCCCCTGGTTTTTTTTGCAACTGAACAATGAAGTCTCCATTTCTCCTGTTGAGCTGCAGCTAATTATTTTCGGGCAGACTTGACTTTGGCAAAAACAGTCATTCCTTCCACACTTACAAATACAAGCTCGCCGAGGCAGGGATGCTGGTTCCAGTTAGGCTCAGCTGAACCCTACCCTGTCAGGGTAGGGAGGGAATGAAGCTAGGCTGGCTGTGCCTGCTTCCATGTGTGACTGTATCTCCAGGCACAGGAGCATTTGCTGATTCACACACACACTCTAAACCATCTTTCTCCCATCTCTCACTCAGCATGACCCAAGACAGCTCTGCTTAGAGCAGAAGACAGGTAGCTCAGCCTTGAAGGGTAAAGGAAGAGACAGGGTTCCGGAGGTATTGAGTTTGGATTTGTTCAACTGTCCCTGCATCCCTCCATCCTGGATCGGAATTTATTACATTATCACAGAAATCATCTTCATGACCCCTTTCTTAGTTCTGTTTTACAGAAGAGGAAACCGAGGCTCAGAGTGGGCTGGGTCCTTCCACATCATAGCTGCCCCTTCCCTCCCCACTTGCCTTTTCAGTTGCTTGTGTTAACCCTGAGTATAGGAAGAAGAGAAATAACAAGGCAAAGCCAGGAGTACATCATGTTGTAGTTACAGCCCACCAGGCTGGCTGTTCCTGTCACTTATACTGGCTGCCTCAGAGCAGCACCCAGTAGGTGCATGGCAAATGGCTGTTAAAAAAAAAAATGTGGCTCACAGGTCATGGGCCGACTGTTCAAAGTGTCCTTGAATATCACTATGAGAAAAGTGCCAGCATCTAAAAGGCATATAGGAGCTCTGGGGTAATCTGCCTGCCTACTGAGACAGGGCTCTGCATGCTGTTCAGGGTACCAACAAGCTGACCCCCTCCCAAGGACTCCTTCCCCAACCCTATACTCCTCCTTTACTGTCCCTCATCCCCAGCAGCTACCCACCTGGCTGAGGACCCACCCTTAGACTTAGGAAATGGTGGGGTCCCTGCCTTGTTAGAATGATTCTTCTGTCTTTAGCTTTCCACCTTGGGATGCAACTATTGAGGCATCGGTAGGGAGCATCCCAATAGCTCAAACAGTGTTACGTGAAACCTCCTTGGGGGGAGCTCTGAACTGTAATAGCTGCCTGCAGTGCAGCTGCCACCCAGCTGGCAGTGAAGACCACAAGCACCTGGTGAGCCAGTGGGCACCAGTCCTTGGCCTTGGCCCTGCTCTGATGAGTTGGATTTGCTCACTGCTTGTTTCTGCTGTAGGGGTTCCAGCTGCCAAAGCCACCAGAGCCCCCTTCTGTTGAGGTGGAATACTACACCATTGCCGAGTTCCAGTCTTGCATTTCTGACGGGATCAGCTTTCGGGGTGGACAGAAGGCAGAGGTGAACCTTCTTCTGGCTAAGGGCCTGTGTTCCATATTTTATAATATGTCTCTCTTGGCAAGGTTTCTGAGGGTCAGGCAGGGCGGGTAACAGAAATGAGCCTCCCAGCCATGAGTGCTTGCCTAGACCGGGCCACAACCAGGGCTAAAGCCCAGGACTTGGGTTTCTGCCTTCAGCTTGCTCATAGTGCTTGGCCCATAGTGGCATGTCCCAAGACATATGCAGGGCAGAGCACGGAGAGCCTTGAAATGAAGTTCTGGTGAGGGCCTGTGGACTTCCAGGATACAACAGTTTGCTTTTGGGAATGTTTTATTTGGAAGATACACACGTGTGCACGCACCCAGAGATCAAAGGACAATATTTTGTCCTTCTTTTGCGACAAGAAATTTCTTGTCCTGATGAGATTTTGTTGAGATTTTTGTGGAGCCTGGGAGGATCTGGTCTCCGCTTGATTTGTCTGCCTATTCCCACGCACACCTGAGGGCCCTTTCGAGGGACGCTTGGCATGGGTAGAGGAGAGGAATGATAGAACACTGGTTCTGTATACATATGGATCCTTCGAAAGTTACTTTTTATGAGGGGTTAGGAACAATGTGTGGTACATCTGGGGAGCGTCATGGAGGTCTATAGAGGAAGCCCCCTCCACCAAGTTACTGGCACAGACTCAGGGAGCCAGGAAACCAGGAGGGTGGGAGCCTCACAACCAGGACCGGGGTTTGAATCTAACCCGCCACTGACTGCCCCATGGGCTCGGTTTGCTGTGTCTATAAAAACAGGTTGGGACATCGTAGGGACCCAGAGACCCCTGAAACTCACTGGCCTGCCCCTCTTTCCCCAGGTCATTGACAAGAACTCAGGTGGTTGGTGGTACGTGCAGATTGGGGAGAAGGAGGGCTGGGCCCCTGCGTCATACATCGATAAGCGCAAGAAGCCCAACCTGAGCCGCAGAGCTAGCACTCTGACCCGGCCCAAGGTGCCGCCACCCGCACCCCCCAGCAAACCCAAGGAGACCGAGGAGAACCCAGCGGGGGCCTGTGAGAGCCAGGACTCCCCACTAAAGTTTAAGTATGAGGAGCCCGAGTATGATATCCCTGCCTTTGGCTTTGACTCGGAGCCTGAGCTGAGTGAAGAGCCCACAGAGGACAAAGGCTCTGGGGACAGGCGTCCTGCCCAGCCCCGAAGGTCCTCGCCCGCCTCCTCCCTGCAGCGGGCCCGATTCAAGGTGGGTGAGTCTTGTGAGGACGTGGCCCTGGAAGAGGAGACGATCTACGAGAACGAGGGCTTCAGGCCTCACACAGAAGACACCCTGTCTGCCAGGTGCTCCTCTGGGGACAGTGACTCCCCTGGAAGCTCCTCACTGTCTCTTGCCATGAAAAACTCCCCCAAGTCAAGTTCTCCCAAATCATCGTCACTCCTCAAGCTCAAGGCAGAGAAGAATGCCCAGGCAGAACTGGGGAAAAACCAGTCCAACGTCTCCTTCTCCTCCTCCATCACCATCGGCACCACCTGCTCTTCTTCCTCCTCTTCTTCCTCCTTGTCCAAGAACAATGGTGACCTGAAGCCTCGCTCCGCCTCAGATGCAGGCATCCGTGGCACCCCCAAGGTCGGGACCAAGAAAGATGCCGATGTGAAGGCTGGGCTGGCCTCCTGCACCCGAGCCAAGCCATCCGTCCGACCAAAGCCAGTCCTGAACCGAGCCGAGTCTCAAAGCCAGGAGAAAATGGACATTAGCTCCTTACGGCGCCAGCTGAGGCCCACAGGCCAGCTCCGGGGTGGCCTCAAGGGTTCTAGGAGTGAGGACTCAGAGCTGCCCCCACAGACGGCCTCTGAGGGGTCCAGGAGAGGCTCTGCGGACATCATCCCCCTCCCAGCCACCACTCCCTCCTGTGTTCCCAAGAAGGAATGGGAAGGGCGAGGTACCACCTTCCTGACCTGCAGCGCCTATCAGAAGGTCCAGGACTCAGAGATCAGCTTTCCCGAGGGCGTGGAAGTACATGTGCTGGAAAAGGCGGAAAGCGGGTGGTGGTATGTGAGGTTTGGGGAGCTGGAGGGCTGGGCTCCCTCCCACTACTTGGTGCCCGAGGAGAACCAGCAACCTGACACCGCTGACAAAGAGCCAGACACAGTAAAGAGCTCGCAGAACGAGGGCAAGTCAGACAGCCTGGAAAAGATCGAGAAGCGGGTACAAGCACTGAACACTGTGAACCAGAACAAGAGGGCCACCCCACCCATCCCCTCTAAGCCCCCCGGGGGCTTCGGCAAGACCTCGGGCACCGCGGCGGTGAAGATGAGGAATGGGGTCCGGCAGGTGGCAGTCAGGCCTCAGTCTGTGTTTGTGTCTCCGCCACCCAAGGACAACAACCTGTCCTGTGCCCTGCGTAGGAATGAGTCACTGACGGCCACGGACAGCCTTCGGGGTGTCCGCAGGAACTCCTCCTTTAGCACTGCACGCTCAGCAGCCGCTGAGGCCAAGGGCCGCTTGGCAGAGCGGGCTGCCAGCCAGGGCTCGGAATCGCCCCTGCTGCCTACCCAGCGCAACGGCATCCCGGTCTCCCCAGTGCGCCCTAAGCCCATTGAGAAGTCTCAGTTCATCCACAACAACCTCAAAGATATATACATCTCTATCGCAGACTATGAGGGCGATGAAGAGACCGCTGGCTTCCAGGAGGGGGTGTCCATGGAGGTGCTGGAAAGGAACCCCAATGGCTGGTGGTACTGCCAGATCCTGGATGAGGTGAAGCCCTTCAAGGGCTGGGTACCCTCCAACTACCTTGAGAAGAAGAACTAGCAGAGCAGGGAGCCCTTCCAGACTCAGCGAGCCCGCTCCGGCTGCCGTGGGATGAGCTGTGGCGTTGCAGACAAGGGGAAGGGCAAAATGGGAAGAGGGAGGGGGGATGACGGCATTGAACCCTGCAGAATATGTAACCCCCACCCCAGCACAACCTCTAGCTGGAAGGGAGGATGTGATGGGTGTGTAGACTTAGGAGAAAGGGAATAGCAGGCGCACCCTGGGCCCAGGACCCCTGCATACACACTGATGACGTTGCTGATGGATTGCCATTTAGTACAGGCCGTGTGGGGAAAGCCTGATCGTGCCTTTGCTGCACATGTGGAAAAGATGTCATGAGGTGAGCTGTGTCTGGGGTCCTGCCGCTGCTCAGCCACTACAGTGGCTGGCTTCACCTCTGGAAGTCACCTTTATGTTGTCCTAATGATGTGTTCTGAGATTGTGCTGGTTTCTAGTCCACCGCTGACCACTGGTGGGGGTCCTGGAAGGCCACCAGCTCGAGGGCTTGGCAGTGTCGCCGAAGAGCTCAGCCCTTTCTGGGGCCAGGCCACAGCCTATGTTTGGTAGTTAAGAGTTCCCAGATGCCAACAAGGACCGCTTCCTTTTGCTGTGCCGCCCTGGCCTTGCCATGAGAACCTGCTCTCTGCGGGGCACTCAGAGGACACAGTGTGGGAGCTGACCTAGAGGATGCCAGGCTCCTCTAGAGATTGCCTGAGGGTTTCTGGGTAGGCAGTTCCTTTTGCCTGTTTGGGGAAGGGTTATTGGATGGGAGGCGTTTGGTTTGGGGTTTGTTTTAGAAATTGTTTCGGGGGCCCGAGGGGCTCAGCCTCACAAAGCAGAGAAGCAGGGGTGGGTGGGGTTTTCTGTTGAATTCCGGGGAGGGATGTTTTATTTGGATTTTGGTTTAACATTTTTTGCCTTTCCATAAGCCAAGTTGTTTGTTTAGGTTTCCACTGTGTGCACAGTGCCCGAGCATGGCGCCTCACCAGGGAATTTGGGGCCCGCTATGGCCAGGTCCCAGACTCCGTGAAACAAAGTGTTCGGGTTCCTGCCCAAGAGGGAAAGGGGCACTGTTAGAAGCCAGGCTGCTGGGTGACTATTATGCCTCCTTCTGCACATTTTCTCCAACCTGGGCAGGGCCCAAAGAAAGCCTTACTGTAGAAAAGTAAGTCACCACCAACCCTGGGCAGAAGGGACTCTGGCTGGGTCGGCCTGGAGCAGATGCCACCCACTGGGCCCCTTAGCCTCTGGCAATGCTACAAGTGCCCAAGAAGATGGACTCCAAAGCCAGGAACCAACCCTGTGTTCCCAAGGGCAATGCCCCAGGGAACAGAGAAGCAAAGGAATGGAGTTTGCTGCAGTTCTCTGCTTTGGGTTGTGATTCAATATTGGACATTTCAGGGGGGACCCTCCGGAGAGAAGCACAGTGTGCTTCCTCCAAGGACTCCCCTCGAGCTGGGAGTGGATTCCACATGTGCCTTGATTTGGGACAGATCCTGCCTCATAGCCTGTGGCTGAGCTGCCAGCATCTCCCCTGACCGAGGGCTGCTGGTTCCAGGAGACGTGGGAGGAAGCACGCCTCTCCCCCCCCCCCCCCCCCCAGGCAGGTCTGCCTTCAGCTCCCAACCCTAACCTTCTGGATCTCCAAGCCTATGACCCTCCCACGTGCAGATACAAACCGCTAGCCTCCCCTGTCAAAGGCCCTGTGGTAATATTGTTCTATTTCCTTTTCTGTGTTCATGAGTCTGTTTAAAATTGAAATTAGTTATTTTCTTCTGCTGGACAGTATTAAATAGAGCAGGATGTTGAGTTAATCTGCTAGATTGCAGTACTAACGGTAGTGGGTAGGTGTCTTCATGATATTATTTGTACTTTTGAACAATAATGATAAAGAAGTGGTTCATTATTTCTTAATTAGTGCACTTTAAGGTGAAATGGAAAGAAACTCGGAGAGCAAAGTGCATTACTTAAAGATGCAGTATATACTCTTCTCATTTTAAAACAGCACATATTTATTAAAAGAAGAAAAAGTAATTTATGACTATTTAAAATAAATTTTAAAAGTAGAATGACTGTCAGGTGAAAGGACCTTCCGCATAGCTGTCTGCCAGGGGATAGCCCACAGCCTCGCTCCTCAGATGTCTGCACTGAGCCAGCTCACAATGACTAGTGCGCCCACCAGGCACAGAGCATCTCAGTTGGACTGGACCACCAGGATCCCCAGAGCCTGCCTTTCCTACCTGCCCTGCCCTCTGCATCCACATCCTTCCATCTGCATCCCAAAGACCCTCTCCCAACTCCCAGTGTTGTAGTCACAGGCCCAGTGGGACTGGAAGGGACCTTAGAAGTCACTTAATCCCATCCTTTCTGGTTACTTTAACCCACTGAAAGGAAATGGCTTTCCCCAAATCGCCCAGTTAATGGCAGGTTCCCGCATTGCGTTAATACTGTGTTCCTCTCCCGCCCCTTTAGTTTATTGTGTTTACATTGTAACATCCAGCCCCAGGGATGGCTGGGAGTTGCTCAGGCATCTGGGGAAAGTGGGGAATGTTGCCACCTAGTGTCAGTACGTAGACTTGGGCAACAAGTAGTGATAGCCAAGGTGCCTCACCACCAACCTGTCAGGGCACAGCACAAACCCTGCAAGCCCAAAGAATACTTGAAACAAGAAGGGTGCATGCCAGGACTTCCCAGACATGGCCAAGGGATGCCAGGCCTTGTGTCCCTGGATCCTAGCCCTGCCCGGGCAAGAGGGCTTTTCCTTAGAGCTAATGAGCTGCTTTGTGATACTGGACGGACTGTGGCAGCAGTGGAAGAAGGACAGGGCCTGGGGCTCTGATCCATCTGGAGGAAAACCAGATCGGACTAAAAGAAAAAAAAAAAAAAAAAGGCATCTCAGCAAAGTCCAAACTTAGTTTTCTATTATGATTGAAAATGTGAAATGACATTGTATTGCTGTATACTGCAACTTTAATCATAATGAGCCCTTCTGAGGTCATTATTGAGGTTTATATAATGCCCGAAGATGCAGCGTGTGGTGCTTTGTCTGTCTTTCAAAGACCCTTTCCTTCTATTCCAGGGGTGGAGGGAAGTCTTCAAACCTTCTCCTTCTTTATCTCTGGCAGGCCTGACGACACTGCCTGGCCTCTCTGTGTTCTCACGGGGGGGGGGGGGGGGGGGGGGGGGGGGGCGGGAGGAAGCTGATGGGAGTGTCCATCAGCTGGTCTCCCGTTTGCCCTGGGGGCTCCCTTCACAATGTGTGTGTGTGAGTTTCTGTGTGCAGGGCCTCACATCTTCCACCCCCAGCCTGGCCCTGAGGGTTTCCCTTTCTCACTCCTAAATGGACGAAGGCATTATATAGAATCATTTAGTCACTTTGAGATGTTAGAGCAGCATATTTTACTGGTATTTATATCCATTGCTTTCCTCAGCAAAGGCATATTACTACTATCATCTAAGGAAAAGAGGACAAGGGAATTTCAGGCAAACTTTACGTTCATGTGATTAGTACTTGCAGAGCAGACGTAAGCTATTTAAGTCGTAGTGTTCTGTTTTTAGGAGGGGGGACCAGGTGAAATCACCCCAATTTCTTCTGGGTTTGACTAATATAGGATTTCTTTAAGGTTACTCACTTCCCCTGTTCACTCCAAATACCTTGCATTCTCAATGGAAAATGAAAACACCTTGAGACAGGAAATGTGCAATATTACCAAGAGGGATGTGGGACAGAGTGGACCCTGTTGAATCTGCCTGCAGAGGATGGCTGGGGCTGCTGGGAGGAGCCAGCACTGTGGAGTACATGGGTGGGTGGGGAGCTTGATCTCCAGGCAGGCCAGCTGTCTATCTCCACCCCAACCCCCTGGCATGAAGAAAGGGGAGCCACCTGGTGTTTTCCACCTAGAAGTAAGAGCTGGGGAAATGGCACGGTGCTCTTGACCTCCTGGGCCCAGTCTCCAGAGCAGAATGAGGTATCCACTCCTGTTTTCATGCCCATTGTTTTGCAGCCAGCTGCTCCGAGAGACCCGTCCTGGAAGAGATTCCCAGCAGCCCTCTCGCCCCAGCCTCCCCATGTGTGGGCTACAATGCTTTGGATGTATGCATGAGTCTTTCTAAAACTATGGAACCTCAGTTCACCTTACAGACAGGAATCCTGACTGTAAGCAAACCCATTTGGAGGGCAGGTGCTTTAAGTCCTTCATACCCAGTGAGATCTAGTTCCTACAGGCCTGCAAGTGGCCTGGGGCTGAGTCCCGGCCACCCGTTCATCTCAGTGACTTGGCCAACAGGCATGAGCCCTGCTTCTGATAACAGAAACCCCCTTGACAGGTACACACCAGCCTGCTTTCACATGCAGCAAGGGAAGTGGCGGGATAAAGTGTCTTCTTGGGGGTGAGAGCAGGTTGCGGGGCTCGGCTCCCCAGGACAGCAAGCGCAGCCTTGCTGGTGTATCTCTTTATGTAGTACTGTAGGCCTGCTGCTCCCACCCGCCTTGTGTGAATTTCTATACAGATGGGGAGGGTCCAGGCCCCTTGTGGGGTCTCTCCCTAGGAACAGATATGGCTGCATAGCTGATCAATTAGAAAATCCATGCAGCTCTCTGGAAAGACAACATTTCTCATCACTAACCAATTAAGATTCCCTCGCTTTTTTGAGGGCTGAGATGGCATGTGTGCATTTGTGTGTGTGTGTGTGTGTGTAGTGGTGGTGGTAATTTCCATGTGCATGGAAATTACATGAGTACCTGTGTATGTGTGGGGGAGAGAGAGACTGGTGGTTATTTCCCACTTGAACTAAATAGCATGGGGTTAGAGAAAATAAATACCGGGCAGGCGGTCTCCATTGAACTAGTCCTTGTCATTGGGCAGGTCCCAAGGGACTCGCAGCTTCTGGCAGCAAGTATGTGTGCCATTCACACGATTCTGGCTGGAGAGTGCAATGTGTCTTTTTGTTTTTGTAATTATTTTATTTAGTTGGAAACTCACACTGGCATTAACAGCTAACAGAAGCAGCCCAGGCCATTATCCCGGGCACCAAGATGAAGACATGGAAGAGATGCTATTGAGTCTGGAAGTGTCGACTGGTTAAATCAGGGCACCCACCTGCACCCTACATGTCCTTGGGTATTAGAATCTCCCCTGCAAGCCTTACAGTGCTTCCTGAGAGTGTGGAGGGCTCCTCAGGACCTTCTGAGCTTTTCTGGCTAAGTCCCACTTGGGTCAGTCTCATGTCCCTGCATTTCCCAAGCTCAGCTAGTAAAAGGACAAGGTCAGTGACCTTAGCTCTGCTTAACTACTGCTTTGTTCTGTGCATCTAGGACATCCGGGACCCTCAGGCCACAAAGTGGGCGCAGTGGTGCTTGTAGACCAAATGGAAGGGTCTTTCCAAAGGCTTGATTCTAACCTGGCTACAAGGAATTGGCATGTGATACCCCCCCTCCCCAATCCTGTCTAAATCTCAAGAGACCTTGACAGAATTCCTCCCCCATCGCAGTCCTAGGATTCAGTGGCCTTAGAGCGGGGCCCCTGTGCTGAAAGTCCCTGCCTTACTCCAAGTCTCATTCTGGACAATGGGCTGTGTCTTTGGAAATGTGAGAGAACTGTGTTGGTGCAAAAGGATGGATTTGGCATGTTGGAAAGCTAGTGGGAGGCACGTTGGCAAGATGAGTACGCATGTTTGGAATTACTGGGGCTTACCGTCCCCACACTGGGGACGGAGGCTTCCAGAGATGTCTTTTAGGCAGAGAAGGTGTGGGAAGGCTGAAAGAGAGAGTTTGGAGTTTTACTGTGTTTGGAGCAGGAAGGAGTCCGTTCTTGGAGTTTGAAAACGACGGGTTTTACAGGGATTTTTGTTCTCACCAGCCAAGAGTCCAGCCAGAGAAAACTCACTCACTGGGCCGCAGCTGGGCTTCCAGTTATCACGGATCATCTTAAGGAAGAGGTGCTGCGAGCCACAGCCAGTCTGGATTGGGAGGCCCTTTCCCAGAAGGCTTAAAGCCATATCCCAGATTCCCGAAGTCTTTGCCCAGTGTGTTTTGTCAGACTATACACATTAGAGACCACTGACCATACAGGCCACACGGTAGGGACCCAGCATCCCCACACTAGAACTTAAGAGCCCAGGCCTGTCCAGGAGGCAGGTGACCTCACTTTTCCTGTTGGCATAGGACAATATTCCCAAGTCAGTAATGGAACCTGTGGTTCTGACTGCCGAGTTGGCTTCCTGCTGCCAATCAGCTGAGGTGAGCACACCAACATCCTGGCCGCTGCCTTCTGTTTTCTAGTGGCTTCTACTGAGGCACACTGCTTTTGAGTTTACTTCAAAGGGTGCACAGTTGCCATTCTTAGATTTATAACTTGTCTCCTGCAACACCAGTTCTTGAGGGGTCTGGGAAGTGACTCCCACCCCCCGCAGTGTGGGTGTGTGGACTGGTGAGAACGAGCAGGTGGATGTCACAGGAACCTCAGCGTAGTGTCCACTCGGCCCCCGCCTGCTTCAGGGGGTCAGCAGGAGCCCCTCCCCCAGCTTCTTCCCTCCTCACCTCAGCAGAGAAACTGCCACAAGGACATTGGATGCGGTAGGGGTCGGTGCAAGTGCCGACATATCTCCAGAGCCCTCAGTGGTGCTAAACTATGTTTCTCATAGTTCTAACAGTGGGTTGTTTTTATACGCCTCACCACACACAGGCAGTGTCATTGGGGAGGGACCCAGCCCCCTTGACCTGCTGCTTTGCGGGTGTCCTTTGTCTCTTTGATGGGGGACTCTTTGGTCTGTAGAAATGATCTGTCTTGGCATGCTTCTAGTCTTTTAAATTTTGGGTTGTTTTCTTTCATATTTTATGTTTACAGGCATCTTGTATTTCCCTAAAAACTAAATAAAGTTTTTGGCCTTTTTAACTGAACGGAATCAGGTGGTTCTTTCTAGGCCCCATGGACCCATTCAGTTGGCTAGCAAGTTCTACCAGCCCAAACATCAGCCTACTCCAGGGGGTGGGATGGAGGAGGCCAGGTTTTCACAGGCTGCTCCAGGCCTTTCCTACCTGCAGGTGGCTTTCTTGGAGTAGCCAAAGCTAGATTCTTGGTCCTTACTGGGCTGGTCTCTAGTAAGGAGGGAAAAATGGACCTGAGGTCAGTTCAAAGGCAGGCTAGGACTAGGTGGCCAAAGCCTCCTCCCAGGCAAAGGTGTAGGCAGGACACCCCAGGTCTCTGAGGCCTGGCCCTGCCAAATATGCACAGTTCTAACATCGTGTGTAGACCAGGCTACTCACCTCTTCCCCATCCCAGCCACAGGCTTGACTTGTCATTCCCCCATTAGTCTCCAGGTGGCGATACTCACCCCACAGGAACTCTGGCCGGAGAGGAGACAGCATAGCATGACTGTGGCTTCCCTTGGTACCCTACGTCACCAAAGTCCTGGGGACACCAGAAGAGGGGCAGCTTCTCAACTTCAAAGTCTTGCCTAGTATTATGGACCCCACTGTCTCAGCCCCACACAAAGCCTGACTCCAAGGCTTCCCTGTCACAGGTCCTTTGGGGCATGGGGGCTACTCCTAATCACTCAGGTGTTCTCACACACTGGTCCCCCAACCTCCAGACGCACACCACAGCCCTCAGGCTGGTACGAAATCACCTTTATTCACAGACACAGTGACCCAGTTCACAAAGGAGGCTGTGCCACCTCTGCGCTAGCAGAGTGGGTGATGGCTTCTTTTCCCGCCTCCAGCCAGGCGGCTCTGCACTAGACAGGGCAACTTACCAGCTCCAGCCTGCTCCCACAGAAGGGGTCTACCAGGGCCAGTGACTGACGTGGCACAACCGAGGGTGGCCCCAACCCTGCAAAGCCAGAGCAGGCAGAGGCCCACCCTGACATTCTCAACGCCTCCCCAGTACAGCCCCCTAAGAACTCCCAGGGACGACATGGAAAGTGCTCCACCCCCAAACCACTTTACACAGGGAAAGCTGGGGCTTGGGTGGGGGTGACCACTGGCCAGGACACAGCCCCAGGTCCTGTCTGTCAAGGCAGAAGCCACCTCTGATGGAAATAAAACCAGCCATCGGAAAGGCTGGGAGGGGGTCTAGGCCACAGTAACCCAGGACAGGCAGGTAGGGCTACAGAGGCCACAGCCTGAGAGGGATGAACACTCCCTTCTCAGGACCAGGGTCCTGGCCTTCAGGATCCATCCTCCCTTTTCTAATAAGGGTCTCCATTCTGGTCTCTGGCCCATATGTCAATAACTTCCCCAACCTTCCAGAACTTTCCCTGTCTTTATAGAGGTGGACTCCTAGAGAATGGATGCCCTCAAAGCAACCAAGCTAAGGAAGCGCCCACCCAGAGAGGAAGAGCACAAGTGATATAGGTGGTTCCCCAACCAAGAGAGGCTCATCAACCTCCTGGGAGACCTCCAGCCCCGAGTTCCACCTCAGGGTTGGCAGGACTGCCCACGAGCCTTGTGTTAGGGCCTGGAGTGGGGGGAGGGGAGAGAAACCAAGTGGCTACTCTCTGCTGCCCCTCACTTGGCAACCCCCCAGCCAAGAGTAGCATTTCAGGAGCCCCCAGGTTAAAATTAACCCATAAAACTCATAAACCAAATAAATAAATAAATTAAAATAAGTATAAGGGCTGTCCATAGGCCAGGAAACCCCCACCCCACTGAGGTCCCCTGTCCCTCCTGGGCACATGATGGGAGGATCCGCCCAGGCCAAGTCTGACACTGAGATGAGGCCTTGAGTGTGGCTGGAGACCTGTTCTTTGGAGACCCTGATGGCAGGAAGGCCCGTGTAAGCCTACACTGAAGGGCACCCTGGGCATCGGCACCGGTGAGATGATTGGTGCAGGTTATGGCGAGGAGAGGCCCTGCACACGGCTGTTGACACGAGGTCCCGGGCCTGGGGCCTGGAATCTGCAGCCCGTCTGTTTACCTGCTCTGGGTAAGGAGAACGAGACCATGGCCTGCAGTCTCCTCCCCGGCTGCCCAGGGGAAGCTAGCTGAACAACTCTCTCCAAGGGGCCACGTGGGCTATACAACCTAAGACTCTACCTCAGCCCCTCAGCTTGCAGAAATCTGGGTAAAGAGAAGAGAGATTGTGGGCTAGCCTCCTCCTCTCTCCTCCATTCATTATGTACTACCTGTGCCCCAACCTCCCTGCCTCAGACCCTCTCAGCCCAAACCTTCAGGGACCTTGGTTTCCCATGTTTAATGGAAAAGGAGGAAGAATTTGCAAAATGGAGAAGGAAGGGACCCTGTTGGCTTTGCCCTTAGCTGGAGTCTGTAAAAGTGGGCGTGCAGGGTGGGGCTCTGCAGTGGGCTAGGAGCTTCGGTAGGTCTTGATGATGTCCTTGATGGGGCGACGGCAGATGGGGCAGCAGGCGTGCAGAGCCTTCTTGAGGCGCAGGCCACAGGAGTAGCAGAGGCACATGTGGCCACACGTGTAGATGACCGTGTCCACCGCGTGTTCATAGCAAATGGTGCACTCATCGCTCCACTGGCCCGTACCTGGGGTGACTGGTGACTCGGGCAGGCTCACTGGTGAGTTGGGGGCTGTCCCTGAGAGCAAAAGCACTAATCAAAACAAGATGTGACCCAGCACAGGGCCTTCTCACAGGAGAAAAGTGGCCCTGGGCTCCCTCTTCCTCCAGTGTGGAGAGCCACCTGTTCACACTGACAGCCCGCCTTCCCGCCTAAGGAAGAAGCTGAGCTCGGCGGCCTGGCTCTGGCCACATGGCCCCAGACCAGGAGCGGCAGTAAGAGGAGAGGGGAAAGGGGGAAAAAGGACTTCCCAAGTCTTTCAAGGCGTGACCCTCCTAACCTTTAGCACCCCCTATGTACATGTCAAAAGGTCCCCTGGCGCACTTTAGTCCCGGCACTTGGGAGGCAGAGCCAGGCAGCTCTCTTTTGAGTCTAAGAGGCCAGCCTGCTCTACACAGAGAGTTCCAGGACAGCCAGGGCTACACAGAGAAACCCTGTCTCGAAAAACAAAAAGTCCCCTGGAGGATCAGTGCCCTCTTCTGGGCTCCACGGGCACTCATGCTTACACAGCCACAAAACCCACTACCACCACACCCACACCCCACACACGCATACACACGCACACATGCTCACACACACAATTTAAAATAAATCTTTTTTTTTTTTTTTTAAGCCACAGCTTCAACACTGGAGAGCTCCGTCAACAGTTGAGAGGCTTGCTGCTCTTCCAGAGAACCCGGAGTTCAGCTGCCTGTTAGCTGAACCCGAGTCAGTTAGCTCCCAACCACCTGTAACTGCAGCTGGGGGACGCAGCACACCCTCTAAGCCTCAACGGGCACTGCCCACATTCACGAGTCAACAAACATGCACACACTCAAAATTTAAAAACAATTAAAGGTGGGTTTGTTTTTAAAGAGAGTAAAATGCCCCCACTGAGCTGGCAGCCCTAGCCCTAGCAAAGGCTACACTGCCCTCTCTGCAGAGTGAGGAGAGAAGCACTGACCCAACCACAGGGCCTGGTACTCACCACCAGCAGAGCCACCCAGAGGCCCAGAACTGCAGGTGCTGAGCAGGGGGTCAGAGAGGCGGCTGCCCAGGGCACTGGGTGAGGTTGGAGTGGAGGCAGGTGAGCAGGGGAGAGATGGGCCACCCCGTTCAGCCATGATGGTGGAGCCTGAGAAAGGGGGATGGGCCACACTGCTGTTAGCCTAACTAAGAAAGCTTCAATACCCACCCCCAGAGAGGGCTCCCGCACCTGCCTACAGGACAGCCACAGGCTAGGGGCAGGGCCCACAGGCTGGGTCAGCCCCACCCTTGCTCTGTCTTATATCGCCCACAATCTCCAAGCCAACTTCTGCCTCTTTAGTGGCCCCTTCCACCTCCGAGGTACCTTTGGCCTTCAGAGAAGAAGGCCCCGCCTTTAACCTCAGCCTCCATCACTACCTCTCTACCTCTCTACCACTCGCTTTCTCTACACAAGCACTGGTCCCTGCATTCTAGTCCTACCTTTCCCTCCCTCTCTCCCTCTGTCTTCCCTGCCTTTCTTCAACAAGTTCTTCCTCGAGGTTCATGTTGTGCACATATGAGACTGGGAACGGAGCCTTTGCCTGCAAAAGACTGTTCAGGAAGCTTCTTGAGGCTGTGCTCAAGTCTCAGTCTCTGGGCAACCATGGCTCCCCCCAAGCTCCATGACTAGTCATTGTCACTGGCCAGCCATACCCAGCCACACAGCCTGAAGTACTCTGTCCTCTTGGCTGAGAATCCAGCTGTTTCTATCAGGACCATAAGCTTTCTATTTACTTTTCTTACCCTGCTGCACCGGCTAGCGTTTTTTGTCTTGTTTTGTTTTCAGAACAATGTCTATAAAGCTACTGATATAGTTCTCTTTAGTGAATGTAGGTTTGTTCTGCCAGGGAACACAAAGGGAGCTGTAGGTTTTGTACACATGGGTAAAGGAAATAGTCCTCACTTATCAGCTTACGGGGGACTTTCACGAAGCCGTAGGGGGAACAATGAACCTTCACACGCTGCTGCTGCTGAGTCTTTCCTTTGGGGCCACTCAGGATCCCCCAACACCACTTGGCTGTCGGACAGACATGCCCAACTTTCCAAAAAGCTCGGGAGCTATTAACAGACACTGGGTTCTGGGTGATGTCCACCCTGACCCACTTACCACCTGGGGCAGAAAAGGTCTTGTGTTTCCTTTTGTTTTAATTCCCTTTCACTCCAGTCTCATAAACCACTCTGAACGGCAGAAGCCTTGCGGGAAAGCTGCTTTGCTATTATTAGGTGGTGGTGACGCAATTGCACCTGTGATTTCCTTTCTCTGAGAAGCACTGAGGAGAGCCGGTTATCTCTCGCCTCAGCTCAGATTTGTGTACACACCTCCCAATCTAATTTCATTTTATTCCACCCAGAATATCCCGCCCTAGGCTGATTCATCTTCCTTCCTGTTTGATTTCATCTCCTCTAACCTGATTTCATCTCCTTCCTACCTGATTTGTCTTTCTTCAGCTCTAACTCCTCAGCACTCCAGCCTCCTTTCGTAGCTTTTCTATTTGCTTCTCACCATCTCTTCGCCTCTACAGAGCTGTGCTGTTTTTTCTCTTGTTTCACAAGCTCTTCGCACTTATGGTCTCAAAGCACCACAACACAGGCACTGGGCTACCCAGCCCCTCACTGAAAACTGAGCTCAGAAAGCAGCTGAGGCCTGCTAATCAATACATACTTCCAATCCTACCAAGCCTCCTGGGCTGAGCCACGGGGCTGAGAGGCCCAGGTTTCTCCAACCTTAGCTAAGGATACTTAAAGAAAAATATAAATCAGCTGGGCATAGTGCTGCAAATACCTTAAATCCCAACACCTGGGAGGCAGAGTTGGATCTTTGTCAGTTCCAGGCCAGCCTGAACTGGACAGCCAGGGCTATGTAGAGAGATCCGGTTTCAAAACAAACAAACAAAAACACCAAAATAAAACAACAACAACAAAACAACAACAAAATCAGATGTCCAGAATCTATCTTACAGCTACAGAATTAGCCAGGATTCAAAGATCTGCACTTGCTAGTGAGAGAGGCCAGGGAGGTCAACCCACCCTGAGTGTGGGACACCATCGTAAGGGCTGGCTTCCCATGCTGAATAAAAACAGGAAGAGAAGAGGACGGAGCTGCCTGCAGGCACCTGTCTCTCGGACAGCAGATGGACACAACGAGACCGGCCCTCACATTCCAGCCATTCCTCCCTCACTAGGATGGACCGTCCCTTCAAACCACGAGCCAAATCTAACTCGTCTTCCCTTCAGTTGCCTTCTTGACAGGTGCTCAGTCACAGTAAGGGACACATCCTGTCGAACAAGCCAGGGAGTGTGGCTAAACACAAGCCCACACCCTCCCACCCTGTCAAACTGCCTCTTCCGGAAAGGCCTGGACGATCTCAGTCCCCAAGGCCACCTGGCTCAGGGTCCCCTACTCTGACTCAGGTATTGCCCCAGTAGACCCACCGTGGTGTTTGGGGCTTTGGGGTTTTGCTATTGCTGTTTTTCTGCTTTTGAGACAGAGCTTCCAATGAAGCTCTGGCTGACCGGAAACTCAAGATGCAGACCAGGTTTGCCTCGAACCTGCAGAGATCCTCCTGCCTCTGTTTCCTGAACGCTGGGATTACAAGCATGCACCAAACCAGCCAACCTGATTTTCGTTAAGACCCACAACAGCCCCGAGGAAAACAAGTCTCGGAAAGTTCACTGCTGGTTCGAACTCCCTTGTCCCCATTTTCACACAACCTCTGAGGTGTATGGCTCTGGCCAGTTTGTGTGTCATGTTGGGATGAGAGTTGGGTTTCTTCCCCAGCCATCGGTGGAGCAGATGCTTCTTCCTCTGGGCCCCGAACTCAACTACAAGTGACTGCCTAGGAAGACCACCATGAACTGGAGGATGGCGCCCGGCACTCACCGAGGATGCGGACCTGCGTGATGGCGCCGTGCAGGCTGAAGAGCATCCAGAGGGGCTGCGAGGCGTCCACGCACAGCTGCATGCCGGCCGCGGCGCCGTTGTGACTCAGGTGCAGCTCTCCGTCCGCGTTGACCACCAGGCCCAGGATGTCCCCGCTGTGCAGAGGCCCGGGCACGCGGCACACCGCCCAGAACTCCTTGCGGTCCACCAGGGCCTCGGGGCTGAAGGGCAGGTCGGCCGGCCGCAGCGTGCAGGGGTCACACGTGGTGACCCCGAAGGACAGCGCGCCCGGCCGCGCCCCGCCCGAGCGCGTGACCTTGATGAAGATGGTCTCGGCCACGCGCACCGGCCGGCTGGTGAAGACGAGCGCGCGCTCGTCGCGCCCGTGCTCCAGGCGCGCCACCGTCTGCTCGTCCAGGATGCGGACGTGCGCGCCGGCGCGCAGCGCGTGGAAGCGCAGGTCGCCGTCGAGCTGCGGCGGCAGCGCGCGGCTGTGCTGCGAGTTGAGCGAGTTCTGCGGGATGGGGCAGCCGGCGGGCGGCGCGCCGTCGTCGTCGCCGCCATCGCCGTCGGCTCCCGGCACGTTGAGGTCGCACAGGCTCACAGACAGGCGCGCCTCGTCCGCCTCGCAGCGCAGCGACGGCCGCCGCAGCGCGGTGAAGGAGCGCGGCCTCAGGCAGTCGGGCAGCACCAGCTCGCTGTCTGCGGCGGGAAGGGCGAGAGAGGGCGACCGTCACCGTCCCACCGCGGCCCCTTAGCGCAGCGGGCGCCGCCCCACTGAAGGCGCCGTCGGGCAGCGAGGGGCGGGGATCTACCCTTCAGACCAAGCCTGCGGCCGGAAGACGCCCGCCTGAAGGGCATCTAATTGCTTCTAAGTGCTTTCCGGCTTTCCCCTTTCCCCCTCCGGGAACCCTGCAGCACTGGTGCGTTAGGAGCGGTGCTGTAGTTTTCTGAGTCTCCTGTCCCAGCCTAGCCTCGAACTCAAGTGTGTGTGCCACAGTGCCCGCTAAGACTCACAGTCTTACAAAGAATTTTGTGGTTAGCAATGGATTGATTTCCAGCCCGTCCGCGGAAGAGAAAGGTCTCTTAAATTCTAACCCCTCGGATTTCCCTACTTCTGCTTAAAAACTAGAGCGGACTGACTCCGCTGTGTGTGCGTGCAGGTGTGCGAGTGCACCTGTGAACACGCACGAGGAGGCCAGAGGTCAACCTTAAGTAGTGTTTCTCAGGCACCATCCGTGTGTGTGTGTGTGTGTGTGTGTGTGTGTGTGAGGCCGCTGTCTATCCTGGAACCAGGGATGTCTCAGCACCCCCAGCCGGAGGATTATAAACACACCACTAACCCACCTTCAGAAGACAACAAACCCAAGTGTGATTGCTTTAATCCCAGTACTCCAGAGGCAGAGGTGGAGGCAAACAGATCTCTGTGAGTGCCAGGACAGTCAGGGCTACACAGAGAAACTCTGTCTTACACACACAGACACACACACACATGACAACAAACTCAGGTCCGTGTGGCTTCAGCCCACTGAGCTATCCCCCAATCCTCAGAGTGGCTTTCAGACAAATAACCATGTTTACAGGCACTGTTGACACTGTAACACTCTAGGAAGCCAGAAGGACCCCCTGTCTCCCAGTTTCTGTGCATAAACTATGACATCAAAACCAATACTTACCCTTTGATGTTATCATTGCCACATAAAGACACTAAGGTATAGAAGGGAGTTAATCAAATCCAAGAAACAGAGCATTTGAGAGCAGCTTCAGCAGGCTGCAAAACCATCAGGAAACACAAACTGAGTTTTGAAGAAGACACACTCCAGCAGAAAGGAAAACAACTGTTAGTCCACTACCTAGGGAAAAAGCATTTCCTGTATTTGGACTGTGGTATGGCAGATTAGTTTGGTTGGTTGGTTGGTTTTTGAGACAGGGTTTCTCTGTGTAGCCCTGGCTGTCCTGGAACTCACAGAGATCGGCCTGCCTCTGCCTCCCTGAGTGCTGAGATTACAGGTGTGCACCACCATACCCAGCTCATGACAGATTCTTTTAAATGTATTTTTGGTTTCTGTCAATGCAAAGATTGAGTTCTGCTATAGAAACGCCAATGTTTAAACTTTCATGGGTAATCTGCCATTTTGAAAATGGAGTAGCTTTGACCCAGCTCCTGAAAATACTGTCAGTAAAGTCTGTGGATAACACTTGGGCATCTGTGACATGTATTAAGCCCTTCCACGGGCATGGACTTCAGGCTCAAATCCCTGCTGCACACATTTCCTTTTGCACAATGACTTTTTTTTTTCTTTTACTTACTGTGTCCCGAACACCCCTTCAAGCCAACAGCTGTTTACAGCCATATTCTTTTAATGGGAATGCTATGTCCTGCTCTACGGACCTGTAACTTACAGAGACAGTCATGACGTGTGATGGCCCCTGCACGTTATCCTTAAAGCGGCCCATGGTGGCCATCCCACCGTAGATGTAGCTCGGGGGTCTTGGGTGACAGCCACAAAGTAAATAGATCCAATATTGAAGCAAGGCCTGTCCATCCCTCAATGCCACACTCATTCCTGATGGAAGCCCTTCTGTAGAGCTGGTGCCTCCAAAGAAGGCTGGCACCACAGTTAGCCACACCATGGCCTATGCCTTCCCAGGAGCCCCCTGTGCCTGGGTGGCTCGAGTGCCCAAGCCTTCCAAGCAAAGCCTGGGAGACTAAGCCAGCAAGAAGAGCAGAGGCCATAGTTGGCCTTCCACTGAAGGTGGAGGAGAGCCTAAAGCCTCTGCATTCTGTCCCTGTCTCCCTACCCCTTTCAGAAGCTGTTATCTGGACTTCAGAAGGTTAGGTTCTGCCCTTCATCTGCTCCAGAAGCCTCCTGGGGTATGGCTGGTTGGGGTTTCCCAGCATTGCGCTAGCAAGGAAGAGGGAACCAACCGGAAAACTCGATTATTCCAGGGAATTGACTCAGACAATGAGGGCCATGGCTCAGAGGCTGGGGACCATGCAGAGGCAGAGGGGAAGGGAAGCATTTGCACAGGAAAGGAAGAAGAGGTAAAATGGAGGAAGACAATGGCAGGGAGGGCCTGGGCCCTGGAGAGCCAGTTTCTGTTCCCTGGCCCCTCAGGGATTCCAGTGCGGGGCCTTGACGACTCTAGGGAGATGGGAGACGAGAGGAGAGGGACTCAGTTTTCAGAGCTGTGAGCCCACAGCCTATGGGAAAGATCTCACGCTGGCCACACCATACTCTAGGACTTGTGTTCAGAGTCCTGGATCTGGGCAGGCTGTAGGTCAGTTCACAGCAGCACAGGCCAAACCTGTGGACCCTACTTGTGGAAGTAGCTCAGTAAGCAAAGGAGGACTTTGTCCCCTGAGAGGCTGGGTCTCTTAAACAAAACTCTTCATCTCTGTATCTAGTGCACTACACCTTTGGAGCTCTGAGCCTAAACGGAAGACACCGCTGCCTCCATACTGAAGGTCGCAGACACCTTCCCACCACTTAGCGAGTGGATAGACCCAGATGGCACTCCAGATGTGCCCTGAGAAACTCAAGGCACAGAGGGACCATCACTTCAAAGATAAGTACAGTCTACTTCAAACCCATATACTGTTAGGAATAGAGTTGAATGTAGTGAATTTGAAGTCATCAGCCTGGCTCAAATCTTGACTGCGATTTTTATGAGCTGCATGACCTTGAACACGTGGCTTAACCTCCTGAGGTCTCTCTTCTTCAGCTGTGAGAGAGACCTGATCTATACAAACCCTGTGTTCTGGGGCTTGGGGCTCATCTTGGAAGAACGCCACAGGGATGTGGTAAAATAAGGCCCCCTGGGCACCTGGCAAAGTACCTGGCACACGTGACGAGATGTCAATACAAGTCACGGTTTCCATGTCACCGAGGGTTCTAGGGCACTCCAGACCAGGTGTTGAATGTTCAGCCTGGCACTCAGCTTTTGTGTAAGCAACATTCCTGAAGCATGGTGTACCTAGAGAATGGAGGCAGATGCATGCCTTGGCAAGCTCTGGCAGGCCAGGGCAGGCAGAGGCCCTGTTGCCCAGATAACTTCAGATATCAGCATTTGGGGGTGGGGCATGGCCAGCGGTGAAGCACATGCCTAGCATGCACAAGGCTCTGGGTTCAACCCCCAGCAGTGCTTGCCCGTGCAGACACATTGCCCATGCTGTCTGTAGCCACACAAGTCACAGTGGACTCCCAGGAAATACTCTTTGAATGAAATTATTGACTGAAAACCCAATCCAGGAGAAGCAGCGAATGTGTGGAGGTTGAAGGAAGAGGAATGAGAGAGTGGACAAAGAGAGGGAGACAAACAGATGGGGCTAGGAAGTGGACTTATGGGAATGTTGCTGAGCTGGGACCTGAGGCCCAGGAGCAGTTGGAAGCCGCTAGACCCAGCCTAGGAATGTCTTCTCCGCTTCCACTCCAGTGCTCAGCAGGAGCAGCTGTGGGCAGCCAGCAGGCTTCAAATAATTGTCCCAGCAGCGGGTCAGCTGCTCAAGGCCCTGAAATAGCTGCAACTTGAGACACAGAGCACCCACGGCATGGCAGAAGCAAAGGGCCTCAGAGGGAGCTAACATGGAGATGGGGCACAGCTGTGTCAAGCCCCCAAATCCCAGAGGACACCCTGGGACTCTCCCAGGACACAGGTAATCTAGAGCCACAAGCCATGGTTGGCCCCACGTTTGGAAGCTACAAGTTATATAACTGGTGCTGGAGAAAAGCTGCCCGCTCAGGAGGAGTCAGTGGTGGAGGCCGAGGTGGCACAAGATCTCCAGAGGAGCTGCTCAGCTAATTCAGGTTCTGGTCCAGAGCAGAAATAACCAGGCCCTGCCAGGGTAAGACTGGTACTACTCTCATGTACTGACCCACAGGCAGAGATAAGCCAGGACCTGGGTCCTGGGAATCAGCAGACAGCTAGTTTAGGCCTAGAGACAGGAAGAATCCAAATTCCTGACTCAGTTGCAAGAATCTTAGCATCTCAGATTCAAAGAAAGTGAGGAGGTAAGGGCCTAGGCAACCTTCTCCCCCTGCCGGCTTCTCACTCAGCCTTGCCTAGAATGACCCTGGAGACAGGAAGCTCACCACCTCAAAAAGCTTCCCAGCCCCTATCACTGTATAACTGTCAAAAATAACTTTTCGTTGGGCGGGACACACAGCTCAGTCGGTAGGATGCTTGCCTGGAATGCTCAAAAGACCTGGATTTGATATGCAGTACCTAACTAGTCTGGTGCACACCTGTACTCCCAGAACTCTGGGTGGGGGGGGAGAGCAGAAGTTCAAGGTCATCCCTGCTAAACTATGTAAATGAATCTGAAGTCAGCCTGGGCTACATGAAACCGTGTCTTGAAAAAGAAAAGCTTTCCTGGTTTGGATCATAGTGTGGTAGATCATGCCCCAGAGGGCCCCTTTGAGTCTCTTCTTTGGGATAAATGTCACCTTGAGAATAAAGCCCTCCAACTCAGATTACGGTGCTCATCCTCTGCTTTGGAGAGGATCAGGGAAGACTTGCCTCAGCAGCAGGACAGACAGCCTGTTAAAGGCACATGGCATGTGATATTGCTGGCAAATTCATGGAGATCAGCCTGAGCCAGACCAAGGGTAACATTGGCTGGTGATGAGAGCTGAGGGCCAGCTCGCACGGGGTGACCAACTCGGGCTCTTGGCACCGCCGTAGGCGCCTCTTTTGAAGCT